GGCAGGAGGAGGGGAAGAGGGAAAAGGAACGTTTATCTCATCCACTGAACAAAGAAGTCAGCACTCTTGGGACTTGCTAAGATGAAATCGCCAGATGTTCTCATAAATTCTGGGAAAAGCCACAACAACGTAAAAGAGGGCCCTTGAAATCTCAGTGGTTGCCCAAGATATCTGGCAGGGGTACCTTGAAACCTATAGACGGGGGGGGGGGGGGTGTATAAAACTTGAACCCCCACCAGGCAGGGTACTCAGACTAGCTGAGTTGCCCACTTGTGCTTTATGCTAAGTGTATTCTTAATAAATTTGCTTACTTTGCTTCCTTATTAAATTTGCTTGCTTGGCTTCTATCGTGCTTTTTGTCACTCATCTAAATTCTTTCTTGTGAGCATGACAAGAGCTGAGGAGGAGAGAGCCCTTTCCGACTTGGGTGGTTCCCTAGTAACAAGAAGATTCACTTGTGAACTGACAGCATTGGTCAGACATTTGGAGAAGCCTGAGGCTATGATACATTGAATCCGGGGCTTTCTGAACCAGACTGATTATATCCGACTCACCAGGGAGCTTGTGAAGATGCAAACCCTTGGGCCCCCCTACTGGATGATCTGAATCCATGGGCCTAGTACTTATTAGTCACTCCCAGTTCAAGCTCTCTAAATCCTAACCATGATTTAAGAGAGAATATCTAAAAGCTACATATCTATATTACACTATCCTGGCTTCCTGAAGAAATGAGACTTAAGGAACTTCATTCTTGTCAACATGAGACATCCAGTTGTAGACAGTTTCTATGCCTTTCATAAAACTGGCTAAAAGCATCAACCAGCATATATATAAGAATCCATGTTGATTCTTTTTCCTAAAAATGCTAGGCAGAGTTGGCTTTTCAGATAAAACTTTATGCTTCTTTTATCAAGTAAAATGTATGCATCCCTGTCCTGGCCCAGTAGCACAGTTGGTTAGAGTGTTGTCCGGATATGCCAAGGTTTTGGGTTCGATCCCTGTTCGGCACACATACCAGAAGCAACCAATGAATGCATAAATAAGTGGAGCAACTAATCGACGCTCCTCTCTCTTGCTCTCCCTCTAAAATCAATTAATAAAAAAAGTTATGCATGCCAAGATATTTGTTTCCTGATTTTCTAGGAAGCTCATAGGTAAACTGTCCCATTGAAAAATTATCCCATTTCAAAAGGCCAGCTGCATCTATTTCTGCCTTCTGATTTGCAAACTCCCTTTGAAATATTAAATTCTGGAGAGAGACAAAGAGAAACATCAATGTGAGAGAAACACATCGATTGGTTGCCTCCTGTATGATCCCAACCGGGCTGGGGATCGAACATACAACCCAGATTGTAGCTTCTCAAGGGAAGAACCTGTCTGAAAACAGCCAAAAGGAAATAAGAATTGAAAGACGGTAGGCCTTAAAAGGTCTGAGCCGGCAGGAGATCCCAAGCACAATCCAAGGCCAGTATAGAGCAAAATGGCTTTATTGCATGTGCCTGGGTGTAGGCAGGCTGAGCTGAAAAAAGTTCAGCCCCCAATTAGGGTTGGGGTGTCTGTTATATACCCTAATTTTAGCTTCTGGCAATTGCTGCTGATGTGCTCTGCATGGCCCATTGTCCACCTTGGAGATGGGCTGGTCTGGTCTCTCGTCTGGCACCTGCTGGGTTATTCATTGTCTTGTGGATAATCCAGATAGCCCTCATCTGTACTCAACAATAGGCTGAGCGAAGGTCATGCAAGCATCACAATTTCTGTAGTTTTCGCCTTTTATAAACTTTTACCTTTACCCATTAAAACATTACTGACCCTTTGAGGCCTAAGAGAAACCAGCTGATGGCTTTTGAGCCTTTTCTCTGCACTTTTTCAGATGGCAGCGTAGGTAAACATGGTACTCGCCTCCTCCCACAACCACATCAAAGTCACAACTAAACTACAGAACAAACATCCTTCAGAACCATCTGAAATTGAGCTGAACAGAAATCCTATAACAATGAAATTAAAGAAGCCACATTGAGACTGGCACCTCCAAGCCCAGCACAAGAAGCAGCCATTGGCAGATCACTCTGTAGCTTATGCTTAGTGGCCCCGGGTAGAACACAGGCAGTGGCTGACCTTGCCCCAGAGCCAGCACACCCAGTAGACAGCTTCAGATCACTTTGAAGCACCACCACCCAACCATCTCCACTCAAGGAGTGGACTCAGTGGCTACCAGAGCCCTGCTGAAGTAAGTCTTGCTCTGTGTGGTGGGCCCTGCACAGCTGATCATCCAAGATAGTCAGAGGTCGGTGGTTAGTGGGCACAGCCAGTCCTTGCAGCTGATCAGCCTGAGTAAAACCCTCCCATTGATGTGCCAACAGCAATCAAGACTCAATTACAACAAAAGGGTGTAAAATCCACATAAGGGGTGCACCTGGAGGGCCCAGCTGGGTGACCAAGGAGGCTGTGCCACTGGACCCCACAGGACACCTACTATAACAGGCCACCCTAGGAAGTCTAGGAGACATAGCAACTCTACCAAATACATACAAACAAACACAAGGAGGCAACCAAAATGAGGAGACAAAGAAACATTTCCCAAATAAAAGAATAGGACAAAACCCCAGGAAAATAACTAAATGAAATGGAGATAAGCAATCTAACATGCAGAGTTCAAAACACTGCTTATAAAGATGTCCAAGGAACTTAGTGAGGATCTCAAGAGCCTAAGAATGGACCAGTCAGAAATGAAGAATAATTTACAGGAAATCAGTAGCAGAGTAAGTGAAGCCAAGAAGCAAACTATCGATTTGGAGTATAAGGAAGCAAAAAACACCCAATCAGAACAGCAAAAAGAAAAAAGAATTCAAAACAATGAGGATAGTATAAGGAGCCTGTGGGACAACTTCAAGCGTACCAACATTTGCATCATGGGAGTGCCAGAAGGAGAAGAAAGAGAACAAGAAATTAAAAACCTATTTGAAACAATAATGACAGAAAACTTCCCTAACTTGGTGAAGGAAACAGACATACAAGTCCAGGAAGTACAGAGAGTTCCAAACAAGATGAACCCAAAGAGGTCTACACCAAGACACATCATCATCAAAATGCAAAATGTTAAAGATAAAAAGAGAAGCAGCAAGAGAAAAGCGGTTAATTACCTGCAACAGAGCTCCCATAAGGCTGTCAGCCGATTTCTCAAAAGAAACTTTGCAGGCCAGAGGGGAGTGGCAAGAAATATTTAAAGTGATGAAAAGCAAGGGCCTACAACCAAGATTACTCTATCCTGCAGAGCTATCATTTAGAATCAATGGCCATATAAAGAGTTTCCCAGACAAGAAAAAGCTAAAGGAGTTCATCACCACCAAACCAGTAGTATATGAAATATTGACGGGTCTTCTTGAAGAATAAAAAGATAAAACAATATGAACAATAAAAAGGCAATAAATACATATGTATCAACAATCCAGTCTACAAACAAAATGAGCAAGAACAGAAACAGATTCATAGATAACAGAGAACTTTTTGTTGGTTGCCAGATGGGAGGGTGTTGGGGGAATGGGTGAAAAAGGTAAAGGGATTAAGAAGTACAAATTGGTTGTTAGACTGATGAACCTCAAAGGGAAGGGGCGGGAAGGTGGGATGAGATAAACCAAAGAACTTCTATGCATATATGCATAACCAATAGACACTGACAATAGTGTGGGGAAGGCAGGAGGGGGATGGGAGTGGGGAGGAGGAGAGGTCAAGGGGGGAAAAAGGAGGGACATCTGTAATACATTCAACAATAAAGATAAGTTTAAAAAGGAAAAAGAAATAAATATGTAAAAATATTAAATTCTGTTTTTAAAATTGTTTACAACCACATCTGCTAATTGAGATGTAATGTAAGCAATCCAGGTACTGAACAACTGCATAGCTTTAAACTCTCCAAAATGTCTAGAAGCCAACAGATAAAGAATAAATCTCAATATTTGTTTTCAAAAGGAGAAAGAGACCTGGTTGATTTCCGTGCCCTGACATCCAGAGAGAAAGAGAGAGGAGGGGGAAGGTGAGAAGTGGGAGAGTCACCTGGGGAGGCTTCCTTCTGAATGGTTGCACAGGATCGCACTCCTTTTGCAAAGTGCCTTGTCCTTGAAGGCTCAGAAACCTGCTGTTAGTCAGCACAAGGAGGGTGTCCATCTGTCAGGGCCAACGTCATATCCACCAAGCTCCCAGACTAACGTATGCAACCAGGATTTCAGTTAATTTACAACGAGAATGAAAATTGCCTTGGAAACACACGTACCATTTGGCCTGCTCATTCCTGTCCAAAGGCATCTAGGTCATTGTCCCATCCATCCTTTCCCATCAGAGGTCCCACTGCTCCCACTCTGTGCCCTATTGTCAACTGTGACTTCCTCCCAGTTTCCCAGCGCTGCTCAACCCAAACTCTATCACCTGAAGCCCACTTTAAATGCCCCCTTCTCTTCCATCTTTTTTTGAGCCTTCACATCCAAGATAACCTTGTCCTTGGGACTGTAAGAGCACATGGTTCCTTTCACGCTCCTTTTTCACTGTATCTTTTTATTATAATTCCTTCTGTACATGACTACAGCAGGCCGAGGACAGCCTTGCATTTTATTGAGGTTTGAAATTCTAGGAACCGAGACAGGTTACAGCGCTCGAATACTCGCTGAGGCCGAGAGGCCTGGGAGCCTTGGGCGGGTCCCGGAGTCCCTGCCCTCCTCCCGGTCCCGGAACGTAAGGGTTCTGACGTCGTGAGTCAGCCGCAGCCCAGGGCCCAGCGTAGAGTCGATGCGCGCACAACGTTTGCGAAAAGGACCAATCAACACGGAAAGAAGGGCCTGAAAGAATGAATGGGTGACCTCTCCCGCGCTCCCCGTCTCTTCCGCGGAGTTTCGGGGCGGCAGGAGCCGACCCTGATTGGCCGACTCGGCGGCGCAGACTACGCTCGGCGCCCGGGACCCGAGCCCTGGGGCCGCGTCCGCTGGGAGGCGGGGCCTGGAGCGCGCGGGAATCGGGGCGCGCGGCGGTGCGGCGGTGACCGTGGTCCTGCAGGTACGTTTTCTGCGCGGCCGGCTCCCGCGTCCCCTTGTGCCCGCCGGTCTCGGGCCAGGGCCGGGCCGGGCCAGGGCGAGAGGCTCTCTGGAGGCAGGCGGCGGGGCTCCGCGATGCCTCCGAGCGCCGCGCGCTCGGGCGGTTGGTTCCCGCCCAGGCCTCGGTTGCGCGCGGTCTCCTCCCCTCCGGCTGTTTTCGGCTTCCCGGGCCGTGCGCCCTGTGCCGTGCAGCCTGGGAAGTGGGGTTCCCGCACCACCGGCCCCCTCATTCTGTAGCCCCCCGCCCCGGCCGGCTCCCCTGCTCTCCCTGCAAGCTCGCCCAGGCCCCGCTCAGCGGGGTTGGTGGCGGTGCCGCAGCCCGCTGGCCTGATTTTCTCTGCCTGCGTGTTCAGTTCTGCTTTTTCAGACGTAGAAGGAAAACACACTGAACAGCTCGGGCTCAACAGAGCCTTTTAGGAGGAACTTGGAAGGTGTTGAGTCCGGACATATTGGCATCCTTTCCAATACAGCGTGCAGTTTAAAAAACAGTTTTAATTAGTCCGGCCGGTGTGGCTCAGCGTTTGAGCGTCGACCCCTGCACCAGGAGGTCGCTGGTTCAATTCCGGCCAGGACACATGCCCAGGCTGTGGGCCTGATCCCCAGTGGAGGGCGTGCAGGAGGCGGCCGATCGATGTTTCTGTCTCTCTCCCTCTCCCTTCCTCTCTCTATCAAATCACTAAAGAAAAAAAAAGTTATTTTAAAAAAAACAATTTTATTTATTGATTGATTATAGAGAGGAGAGAGCGAGAGAAAAACCATCTATTGTTCCACTTATTTATGTATTCAATGGTTGATTTTTTTTTTAATCCTCACCCTAGAATATTAAAAAAAATTTTTTTTTCATCCTCACCCAAGGACATTTCACCATTTTTTTGGTTCAGATAGAGTGGGAGGGAGAGAGAGGAAGAGAGAGAGAGAGAAACATCAACGTGAAAGGGACACATCGAGTGGCTTCCTCCCAGAGGACCTCAACCAGGGCCGGGGACAAATCGTAACCGAGGTATGTGCCCCTGACTGGAATCGAACCCACGACTCATTGGTCCATGGGCCAACACTCTAACCGCTGAGCCAAACCGGCCAGGGCACCCGAGGATATATATATGTGTGTATATACATATATATATATTTTCTCTGGTACGTGCCATTAGTGGGAACCAAACCCCGAGACACTCTGGTCCGCAGGCTGATCTCCAACCGCTGAGCCAAACCGGCCAGGGCGATATTTTTATATTTATCTTCAGATAGAGCTGGAGGGAGAGAGGGAGGAAGAGAGAGAGAAACATTAATGTGAGAGAGACACATTGATTGGTTGCCACCCACACAATCCCAAATGGGGATGGGGATGAACGCAACTGAGATATGTGCCCTTGACTGAAATTGAACCCACAACTCATTGGTCCTTAGGCCGACGCTCTTACTGCTGAGCCATACTGGCCAGGGCCAATGGTCCTGACTGGGATCAAACGGCAACCTTGGCGTATCAAGACAATGCTCCAATCAACTGAACTACCTGGCCAGGGCACAGTGTGCATTTTTGTTGTTAATCCTCACCCAAGGATATATTTTTCTATTGATTTTTTTTTTTTTTTTATTAGAGTTGGAGGGAGTGGGAAGAGAGAGAATGAAAAACGACTCTGAGCCAGATACATTGATTGGTTGCCTCCTGCATGCACTTCGATCAGGGCCAGGGAGCAGACCCACAACTCAGGTACTGCCCTGGACAGGGAATTGAGCCTGTGACCCTTCATTCTGCAGGCTGACATTCTAACCACCGAGCCAAACTGGCCAAGGCAGGTGTTCATTTTTATTTATTTATTTATTGTTTTAACCAAATTTATTTATTTTTATTTTAATCCTCACCCTGAGGATATCCATTGATTTTTTTTTTTAAGATATGGTGGAGGGAAGGAGGGTGAGAGAGAGAGAAACATCAATGTGAGAGAGGCACATTGATTGGGAGGCAGTGTCCCCCCAGGGGATCAAACCTGCAACCCAGGTACATGCCCTTGACCAGGAATCCAACTGGTGACTCTTTGGTCCCGGGGCCAATGTTCTAACCGTTGAGCCAAATTGGCCAGATCCTGGCGTGCATTTTTTTTTCTTTTTTTTCCCTTTATTATCTTTATTGTTGAATGTATTACAGATGTTCCTCATTTTTCCCTCATTGACCCCCTCCCTCCACTCCCGCCCCCCTCCTGCCTTTTCCCACACTGTTGTCTGTGTCAGTTGGTAATGCATATAAATTCTTTGGTTTATTTCTTCCCACCCCCAGCCCCCTTCTCTTTGAGGTTTGTCAGTTTAGCAACCAGTTTGTTCTTAATCCCTTCACCTTTTTCACCCATTCACCCAACCCCCCTCCCATCTGGCAACCAACAAAATGTTCTCTGTATCTATGAGAATGTTTCTGTTCTGCCTGTTCATTTTGTAGATTCCATTGCCGAAAGATATGTATTCATTGCCATTTTGTTTGTTCATATATTTTATCTTTTTCTTCAAAAAGACCCTTCAGCATTTCATATAATAACGGTTTGGTGGTGATGAACTCCTTTAACTTTTACTTGTCTGGGAAAGTCTTTATATGGCCATCGATTCTAAATGACAGCTTTGCAGGATAGAGTAATCTTGGTTGTAGGTTCTTGCTTTTCATCACTCTGAATATTTCTTGCCACTCCCTTCTGGCCTGCAAAGTTTCTTTTGACAAATCAGCTGACAGTCTTATGGGAACTCCCTTGTGGGTAACTAACTGCTTTTCTCTTGCTGCTTTTAAGATTCTTTGTCTTGAACCTTTTGCATTTTGATGATGATGTGTCTTGGTGTGGGCCTCTTGGGGTTCATCTTGTTTGGGACTCTCTGTGCTTCCTGGACTTGTATGTCTGTTTCCTTCACCAAGTTAGGAAAGTTTTCTGCCATTATTGTTTCAAATGGGTTTTCAATTTCTTGTTCTCTCTCTTCTCCTTCTGGCACCCCCAAGATGCAAATGTTGGCACGCTTGAGGTTGTCCCAGAGGCTCCTTACACTCTCCTCATTTTTTTGGATTCTTTTTTCTTTTTGCTGTTCTGATTGGGCGTTTTTTGTTTCCTTATATTCTAAATGAATGGTTTGCTTCTTGGCTTTACCTACTACTCTACTATTGAATCTGTGTAAATTATTCTTTATTTCAGTTAGTGCCTCTTTCATTTCTGACTGGTCCTTTTTTATGCTCTTGAGGCCCTCACTAAGTTCGCTGAGGTTCTCACTAAGTTCATTGAGCATCCGTATAAGCAGTATTTTGAAGTCAGCATCTGTTAAGTTGCTTATCTCCCTTTCGCTTAGTTCTTTCCCTGGGGTTTCGTTCTGTTCTTTCATTTGGGACCTGTTTCTTTGTCTCCTCATTTTGGCTGCCTCCTTGTGTTTGTTTCTGTGTATTACTTAACGAGAGGTATGGGGCTAGCTGAGACCAGATGCTGCTTGTTTGAAAGAATTTAGGAAAACCTGAAGCAGGATCCAAGACAGGCCAATCCTATGGTAAAGCAACTGGCAACAGCTTGGGGGGGCCTGAAAATTGGGTGGGGCAGGGCCTCAGGGAATCTCCAGGGCGGGGCAACTAGTGTGAGCCAGGTTGCTGGAGTCCCAGATTCGGTGACTGTGTGCCGCCCCAGGGAAGGGCTCACCAAAGGAACCAAGGCCTCCTACGCCGCGTTTGTTTTGGAGAAAGCCCCCTCTCCATCCCTCACTCCAGTGCCAAACAGCTCAGTTCTTCCCTGTATGTCTCTGGCGCCCCTTGAGCTGCCTCCCCTCCAAGCTTAGAGGGAGAGAGTCTGATAAGTCCGTGCGCGGACCCTTTAAGGAGCTGCCTGGGGCTCAGTTCCCGCTGCTTTTTCCAGCCAGAAGTTATGGGGACTTCTCTTCCTGGCACTGGAACCCTGAGCGGGGTGCCTGGTGTGGGGCGCCTGGTGTGGGACGGGGACCCCTCAGTCCTCAGAGAGGACCTTCCCAGCCGAGGTGTCCACCTGATTTTTATCCACCACATGTGGGTGTGGGACCAGCCTGTCTGCCTCAACCTCCTACCAGTCTGGATGTGGCTGCTGCTTTAATTCCATAGTTGTGGGACTTCCATTGAGCTTGATTTCAGGCGGTTTTGAAGGATGGTTGTTCTGTAGTTTGGTTGTAACTTTGATGTGGTTGTGGGAGGACGGATACCGCGTTTACCTGACCGGAAGTCCTGGCGTGCATTTTTAATGGTTAGGGTTTCTGGCTTATAAGTGTTCACATTTCCCGCTCTGATATTCAACTTATTACCAACGATTTTCAGCTTTCCTCTGTCTTTGGGAAAAGAACAGTGCCGGAGGAATATTTTTGCCCCTGCAAGACTCAGGAGGATGAAAGTCATCACTTGCGAGATAGCCTGGCACAACAAGGAGCCGGTGTACAGCCTGGACTTTCAGCACGGGGCGGCCGGGAGGATCCACAGACTGGCGTCCGCAGGCGTGGACACTGCTGTTCGGGTAAATTGGGCGGAAATAGGCACCGGAAGCACCACTGACGCAGCCTTCTCCAATCTTTTACCTAAAACTAATGTCAGCCGACTCAAACTACTTCCTCATCTAGTCCAGAGGGATGCATTCTCAGGGCCTTGAGTGAACAATGAAAGCAAAAGAAAGCTACTTTCTTCCTTGGGTAATGTTTCCTAGGTTGAGGTCACTTAGATGCCTGTTATTTTAGAACCCTAGCTAGGTTCCTGTTGGGGGACAATCTGCACTAGACAGCGGCAGGAGGAGGACAGTAAGCAATGGAACTGTTGGTTTATGTTTCAGATAGAAGATCCTTCATATTATGTTCCAAAAGAAACGCTAAATTTTCTTCCTGAAAACGAGCACAGTAGTGTTTTAGTGTGCACAGTGTGGTAGGTGCTCACTATATATTTCTCTGGATGAACGTTTTGGTATCAACAGATCTGGAAGGTGGAAAAAGGACCAGATGGAAAAGCCATTGTTGAATTTTTGTCCAGTCTTGCTCGCCATACCAAAGCTGTCAATGTCGTGCGTTTTTCTCCAAATGGGGAGATTTTGGCATCAGGAGGAGATGGTGAGTATTGTACTTCAAAATTCTTTAGAGACTACATACCCATGTGTCTCATGTTAAATAGTGAGATTTGAGTCAGTTACGCTCTTTTATTTTAGAGGTTACTTGACCCTGTCAGTCTATCATTTATATAGTTAGTAAAATGAAAACAGTGTTCTGGGGAACATGAGCAGATGGAGGACAGCAACCTTAAACTGAGAAGACCTAATTGAAAATGGTTCTTTTCCCAGTTGCTAGCACTGGGCTGGTTTGGAGACAGGGGGGTGTTTACTATTCAGAGTCTCAAGGCATTCTTCTGGCCTTGCTGAATTGTTAGTTTAGAATTTGTAAGTGATCACAGTCTGTTCTATGTTTCTGTGTAATTTGTTAATTAATTTGCTTAGGGAGTATTGTTCACATGGCTCTCTAAATTACGTTGATTGGTGGAAGCAGGTTGATGTATCTTTTCTGCTTGTGCTTAAATGGCATAAAGCTTGTTGAATGAACTCAAGAAGAGTCTGGAGGCTTTGGCTAGTAATAAATGATAGAGATTTATTCAAGGGTGTTAGAGTTTACACACTGGGAACACAGGTAGGAAAAACTCCATAAAGAAAAGAAAAGTTAAGCCCAGCTGGTGTTGCTCTGGTTGGCCATCGACTTGTGCACCAAGAGGTTGCTGGTTCAATTCCCAGTCAGGGCACATGCCCAGGTTGTGGACCTGATCCCCAGTAGGGGGGCATGCAGGAGGCGGTCAATTGATGTGCTCATTGATGTTTCTATCTCTCCCTCTCCTTTCCTCTCTCGAAAACAATAAAGAAAAAAACGTTAAAAAAGAAAAGTTACAATTTCTTATAGTCAAAAGTACATGGAGAATTGTCAGTCCTGCATTCTTAGCCCTAGGATATGTCCAGGACTGTTATCAGTCAGGTGTCAGGCAGGATGATGGATGCCAGGTGGGCTAGAGGATGAGCACCATGGGTTTGATCACGCCTGGTGGTAATGGTTGTCAAGTGGTCTGGATACGTGAGTCTGTCAGTGAGAAATCGGGGTTGTCTGAAGATCTGGTGCATGTCCAGACGCATATCCAGGCACTGGATATGGATCGGAAAGTTCACAAAGTCTGAGCTCCCAGTCTAGTTAGAACAAGAATAGAGTTTACTCCTGCCTCAACCATCATAATGTGAATAGTTTTAGCAGCTTGGTTAAAATAGAGCCATTTTACATATTACCTATCTCTACTCTTTCTTCAAACTATATAAAAAAAGTAAATCTTTTCATTCATTCATTCATTCATTCATTTTAATCCTCACCCGAGGACGGTTTTCCATTTTTGTTCAGATAGAATGGAAGGGGGAGAGAAAGAGAGGGAGAGAAACATTGATGTGAGAGAGACAGCGACTGTTTACCTGCCGCATAACCCCGACCAGGGCTGGGTTGAACCACAACTATGGTATGTGCCCTTGACCGGAATCGAACCCATGACTCATTGGTCTACAGGCCAGTGCTCTAACTGCTGAGCCAAACCGGGCAGGGCAAAAGTAAATCTTTTTAAAATAAAACAAATCTCACCCGGTTGGTGTGGCTCGGGTTGAATGTTGACCCATGTACCAAGAGATCGCTGGTTCGATTCCCAGTCAGGGCACATGCTCAGGTTGTGGACCCAATCCCCAGTGTGGGCCATGCAGGAGGCCGCCAGGTGATGTTCTCTCTCATGAATGTTTCTATCTCTCTCTTCCTCTCTCTAAGATCATAAAGAAAATAAAAAATAAATATGTTTAAAAAAATAAATCTGAGACTTTGTTTGCGAGAGGAAAAGAGAGCTGGTTATTAAATTTAGTGCCGTGTTGTCCTGAGCCTGTGTGTAGAGGTGGTGAGAGGGGAATGGCCCCTGGCTGGTCTAGCCCACTGTCTTCTGTGAGGTCGTGCAGGTCCAGAAACCTGCTGTGAGCATGGGAGAGTGTGCATCTGTCAGGACCCACCTCTGCTCAGCCATGCTCCCAGGATTCTGCTTAGAGAATGCGAATGCATGTGTTCACACAGTCACCTCCTTCATGCTCCTCCTGCGGGCAGTCCTGGAAGGGAAGCCGAGTCTGGGCAGAGGGTTATGTGGTGAGCGTGGTGGACTCAGAACGTGGGGAGTTAGGACTCAGTCAATGACATCAGGCCAGTGTACATGATGCATCCACGATATTAATAGTTAACACATTCATGGGCTTACTGTGTGTCAGGCATTGTGCTGTAAGTGCTTTATGCATGTTAACTCATTTCATCCTCACCGCAGCCCTCTGGTGGGTGTTCTGTTATTATCCCCATTTTACAAGTGAGGAAACTGAGGCCTCGAGGGACCTGCTGAAGGTTACACAGCCAGGAAAGATTTGCCAGCCCTTGTGTTGGTGCCTCTTTGTTGCTGTTTATTTTTCTTTCCTTTTTTAAAATTTATTTAAAATTTTTATTTATTGATTTGAGAGAGAGAGAGGAACATCTATTTATTGCTCCACTTTTTTGTTGTTGTTATTGATCCTCACTTGAGGATATTTTTTATATTGATTTTTAGAGAGAGTGGAAGGGAGGAAGGGAAAGAGAGAGAAAGAAACATCAATGTGAGAGAGACCTATCGATTGGCTGCCTTCTGAATGATCCTGACCAGGGCTGGGGATCAAACCTGTAACCCAGGTACATGCCCTTGACCAGTAATCGAACCCTCGACCCTTTGGTGACATTAACCGTTGAGCCAAGCTGGCCAGGTCTACTTATTTATTTTTATTTACTTATTTACTTAATGTATTTGTTTTTAATTGATTTACAAATATTTTTATTGATTTTGTTTTTTAGATGGAGAGGAAGGGAAAGGGGGGAGAGAAAGAAACATCGATTGGCTGCCTCCTGCACGTCCCATTACTGGGGATCGAGCCTGCAACCTGGGCATATGCCCTGACCAGGAATCGAACCAGCAGCCTCTTAGTGCATGGGACGATGCTCAACCACTGAGCCATGCTGGCCGGGTTTTAATTGATTTTTAGAGGGAGGGGGAAAGAGAAATATTGGGCCTATCGAACTGCAAGCTGGGCATATGCCCTGATGAAGAATCTAACCTGTGAATTTTTGGTGCACTGGACGACACTCAACCAATTGAGATCGAACCTGCAACCCTGGCATATGGGGAAGACACTTTAACCAACTGAGCTACCCTGCCAGTTATTTCTAGGTCATGCTTTTAGATTTGTTTGTTGTCAGTCACTTTGCAGTGGTGTTTCGCTGGCCAGGGTACCCTTCTGTTTAAGGCGACTTGTCTAGCTCTGATCGGGTATGAATTTGATTTTGGAGTTTTAGTTCAGAGGGCAAACCTGTTTTTCCTGTTAGGATTCTTAGAAGTAAATCATCATGGTCATAGTTGAGCAACAGAAGTATTACTTAATAGCCTAAAAGCCCAGAAGTGAAGGAGTGTGCCCTAAAGCAGGGCTTGTCCTTCATTGAATCACTGCACAGACGCTGTCATTCTGCTGTGGAAGGTGAATGATAACAAGGAGCCGGAGCAGCTTGCTTTTCAGGACGAGGATGAGGCTGAGCTGAATAAGGAGGACTGGACCGTCGTAAAAACCCTGAGGTAACGGGGAGGGACCACGGAGGGATTCATCTTTACCTCTGAGTGCATTCAACTGAAACATCTTTTGACTTTCATATCTAACTTGAAACTTTTACTTACGCAAGACAGAAATAAGAGAATAGTTTTAAAAGATAAAAGCATGATTAAAATGGATTTTCTTTCTGCTATGAAATTGTCCCTAGTAAAACTGAATCGATTTCAAAGACACAAACATGCTCGGAGGCGGCAGATGTAGCTGTGCTAAAGAGAGTTCCGGTGGCGGTTTCTGACATCCCATTGTAATGTGTGGTCCCTGGGTTTGCCCTTTAAGTTTTTAAAAATCATTTTTGTCTCTTTTCTCCCCTCTTTGTCCTCTCTGAATTCTAGGGGCCACTTAGAAGATGTGTATGATATTTGCTGGGCCACCGATGGGAATTTAATGGCGTCTGCCTCTGTGGATAACACGGCCATCATATGGGATGTCAGTAAAGGTAGCTGATGTGTTTTTGTTCTTATCAGGGGAAGGACTATTCTAAAAAGCCTAATCTGCTTTATCTTTTTTTAATATATGATTTTTTATTGTTTCTTTTTTTTTTTTTTAAGTGGAGAGAGAGAAACATTGATGTGAGAGAGAAACATTGATCAGCTGCCTCCTGCACACCCCCTACTGGGGATCGAGCCTGAATCCCGGGCATGTGCCCTGACCGGGAATTGAACCGGGACCTCTCAGTCCACTGAGCCACACCAGCTGGGCCTAACCTGCTTTATCTTTAACGGTGTAAGAGTTTCTTTAGTGAGCTAAAATAGGGGTTTGGCACAACAGGTTAGGGATTAGCCCATGTGCCATGGATCCAATTCAGTTTTAGGGTCCCAGTCAGAAAGTCTGAGGCTTAGCAGTGGTGTCGTGAGTCACTGGTGCCGATACAAGATGAGGCCTCTGTACCCCGGGATGCAGCCAGGATGGGGACAGGCTGACCCCTGCCTTCGTGGAGCTTAGGTCTTGGGAGGATCAGCACGTCTTCGTTCAGGAGGCAGTCACTGTCCGTGTTGGGGTAGGTGGGATCCGGTCTCCATTTCAGGAGATGAAGGGCACCTCATGACTTTCTTTCTTTCTTTATTTTTGTATCCTCACCCGAGGACATTTTTGCATTTATCTTCAGATAGAGTGGGAGGGAGAGAGGAAAGAAGAGAGAGAGAGAGAAACATCGATGTGAGAGAGACACATCGAGTGTTTGCCACCCACACGACCCCAACCAGGCCCGGGAACAAACTGCAACCAAGGTACGTGCCCTTAGCGGAAACCGAACCGAGGACTCTCTGGTTCGTGGGCCAACGCTCTAACCGCTGAGCCAAACTGGCCAGGGCCAGGGCTACTTTTTTTTTTTAATCCTCATCTGAGGACATTTTTCGTGTTTATCTTTCTTTTTTTTTTATCCTCACCTGAGGACATTTTTCCACTTTTTTGTTCAGAGTGGGAGGGAGAGAAAGGGAGAGAAACATCAATGTGAAAGGGACACATCAAGTGGCTGCCACCTGCACGACCAGCCAGGGCCGGGGACAAACTGCAACTGAGGTACGTGCCCTTAACAGGAACTGAACCTGGGTCTCTCTGGACCGCAGGCTGATGCTCTAACCGCTGAGCCATACCGGCCAGGGCTTCACGTTTATCTTCAAATAGAGTGGGAGGGAGAGAGGAGGAAGAGAGAGAGAGAAACATCGATGTGGGAGAGACACATTGACTGGTTGCCACCCACACAACCCCAACCTGGGCTGGGGACAAACTGCAACCGAGGTATATGCCCTTAGCGGGAACTGAACCTGGGACTCTCTTGTTCACGGGCCGACACTCTAACCACTGAGCCAAACTGGCCAAGGTGCCAGGGCTACTTTTAAAGAACCTGTTCTCTATTTGGGGAGACAGCAGACAAATGAGGTTATAGGTGTATAAAGAGTAATGAAATGCTGCTGGTCAGTGGTGGCTAATGCCTAACTGTGCAGTCCTTTGCTCCGGCTTGATGTTTTCTCCTGAACCTCTTCCTCTGCTCTCCTGTTTGTGCACAGCCCGGGTGCCCGGGAGGGTCCCTGCCACCGCAGTCCAGTTTTCATCCACTCCGCAACAGTCTGTTCTTTTAGTTGGGTGCTGTCAGCCATCCCGTCCTCTGGCTCGCCTCGCTCTGTCATCCCCTGTCTTTGTCACACTCTTTCTAATAGCAGACGAGTGTCATTTCTTCTCGTCCCCAACTCTGGCCATTGTCCTGGACAATTCTGCCAGCACCCCCGTGAAGCCAGCTGTAATGACCTTGAACATCGCCAGCATGCTGGACACTTGCCAGTGCTGGGCAAACGCACGAAGAAGGTGGCTACCTTCCAGTGGGCTGTCGGGCAGTAGAGGTGCTGTGAACGGGTCAGAGAGTGTGGGTGATCCGGGAAGGCTCTCTGAGCACGTGGGGTTTGAACAGAGGCTTGAAGGAAGTTGGGGAACATGTTCTGCGTGATTTTTGGGAAGAGCATTCCAGCCTGTGGACACAGCGAGGCAGAGGCCCTGTGTGTGGAGGAAACGGATAGTGTACAGGAGGCGGGATGGGGATCAGGGGGGCTGAGGATGGAGGGGAGGGGAGGCCAGGCCTCGGGGGATTGTAGGTTGTATCCCAAGTGTGACCTGTGCTGCTGAAGGGCTTTGAACGGGAGAGTAACAAGATTTTATTTATGTTTTAAAAAGATGTCTCTGGGTGGCACATGGCAAATCGATCCTCGGAGAACACAGGTGGGAGAAGGGAAGCCGTTGTGGTGCAGAAGTAATTCAGGAGAGGTGACAGTGGCCTGGGCGGGGGTGCCGGTGATGGAAGGGGTGAGAAGGGTTGGGTTGGGACATGATTTGTAGAAAGAGCTGACAGGATCTGATGCATGGGCTGGAACTCTGAGTTTTTTGACAACCAGGTGAACATTGGTGCCATTTCCTGAGCTGGGACGCTGCCGGGAGGAGCAGTCTCCGCAGGAGGTGTGGGGAACAAGGTCATGCCTCAGACCTCTCCTTTTGTTTTTGTGAAGGATTTTTTTAAAAAATTCTTTCAAGTCAATACATCTTTGTTTAAGGAATTCCATATGCTGTGATTCTTTCCCTCCCATCGCCTTCGCTCCACCACGGGCAGGACCGTGGTCTCAGACAGCCTCGTACAAGAGAGCTGCGGAGCCCGCCTTCGCTCAGCCCTGAGCCCGTGGCACCTGGAGCCGACCATCACACCGTCCCCTTCAGTTCTCTCCGGAGCCCTCGGCCCCGGGCCCCGGGCCCCGTTCCGGTCTGTTAGCCCCTCTGGCCTCGGTTTCCTCCAGCCGGCTTGCCCTCCCTTCCTTCCTCCCAACAAGACAGACCCCAGCTGGGCATCTGGGGGACAGTCTCCTTTTAGCTCGCAGTCCCAGGCCCAGTGCAGCTGGTTCAAACCCCTCTGCGGGCTGGGCCACTGCCGAGTCATACTCACCAACTTCAGGTGGGGCCTCAGTGTGCCCCACCTGGGGGTCAGATTTCCCTCCTGTTCTCCCCAGTAGCTCCCCCCAAACCTCATGGGTCTCCTTATGCCCCGTCGACACCCCAGTCCCTTCCCCCTCAGCAGACTCCCTGAAAGAGTTTAAGGACAGAGGGGCGGGGCAGTTAGCCTGAGGCATGTGCACATTTCCCACGGGGGGCCGCTGGCAGCTTTGGGGTCTGGTTTGGCGGGCGGTGGGGAGCGGAAGCCGCGTCGCAGAGGTCAGGGTGAATGGACGTGGGGAAGGTGGAGAGAGTGAGCTGAGGGTAGACCACCACAGAGAAGGGGGTTGCTGCTTTTTCCCTCTAGAATGGCCAAGGCTTCATGACTTCCTCCTCTCTATCCAGGTAATCTTTGTGTGCTCCTGGTTTTTCCTTCTAAATGTGTCCCCCAAATTCCCTGTCCATCCTGTTAGTCCTGCTCTGGTCCAGGCCCTTGTCTCTCACCTGGTCTGCTCTCGCCTCCCAACTAGCGACACTTTCTGTGCTCTCGGGACCTCAGTCTCATCTTCACCATCAGATCACGTCCTCTTAGTGTCCTCGTAGCCACATCGTGAGTGTCCAGAGCCTCTTCCTTGTACCCAGGGTTTCTGTCGCCTGCCCCATTTCCTCCTCGTCTTGTCATTGTGGCCCTTTACTTCATCCGCTGGCAGTTCTCAGTGACCGCCATTGCTCCACACACCTGAGCTGGCTGTTCCCCGTGGGTTTGCTTAGAGTACTTTCGCCTTCACTGACCCCTTCGTCCAGCCTGGCCTGCACAACTGGGCTCAGCTTGTCTCCTTGACCCTCACCTGCTGTTGTTAGCTGCCCTCCTGCTCTGGATCACGAGCACACTCTCATCAGGCTGCAGTGTGCCTGCTTGTTGGTGGGTCTGTCTCTGCCACTGAGCTGAGTGCCGGGCACGGGGGCTGTGTGCCGTCATCCTTGTGGCCCCAGAGCCTGACACGGAGTTCGGTGCAGAGTCCCACCCCACCTCCTGCAGCATGTACCAGAGTAAAGACAATAATACTGAGGTTGTAATGTGCACTGTTTGTGTTTGAGTTGGTTGTGGTTATGCTGTTGTGTGCTTTCCTCGTAGGACAGAAGATCTCAATCTTCAATGAACATAAAAGTTATGTGCAAGGAGTAACCTGGGATCCTTTGGGTCAATATGTTGCTACCCTGAGCTGTGACAGGTACGTTAGTATCGGATGAATTGTGTTTGTGTCTGTTTACTTGAAAATTTCTGCAGAGGTATTTATCACAACCTAAGCAGTATGAACCGTGGTCTAGCTTTGGTTCTTTAGTTCTTGATTTCATATAAAGAATTTTGTTTCCTGTTATTTTTTTCAACTCAGGAGAAATTGGAAACTAATCAGGGCAAGTACCTTACATGAAGTTAGTACTTAGTGAATCTTTATTGAATGGGTGAATGAATATAGAAAGAGCTTTGAATTACATTTGAATTTCATGGGCAACTTTTAAAGGAAAAGGTCTTTTTTTGCTTGGCTGGTGTGGCTCAGTGGTTGAGTGTTGACACATGCACCAAGAGGTTGCCAGTTCGATTCCCAGTCGGGCACATGCCCAGGTTGTGGGCCTAATCCTGAGTGGGGGGCATGCAGGAGGCGGCCAATTGATGTTCTCTCTCATCGATGTTTCTCTCTCTCCCTCTCCCTTCCTTTCTCTCTAAAATCAATAAAGGGAAAAAAATTAAAAAAATAAAAGAAGAAAAGGTCTTTTTATAAAAATGTTTTTATTGAATTTTTAGAGAGAGAGAAAGGGAGATAGGTAGAATCATTGATATGAGAGAGATACATCGATTGGAACCCGGGCACGTGTCCTGACCAGGCATCGAACTGGGACCTTTCAGTCCATGGAAAGATGCTCAATCCACTGAGCCACACCGGCTGGGCTAAAAGGTCTTTTATAAGTATGACTTAGAAGGGACCTCATGGTAGGGTTGGACATTTATTTCAGTTTTGATTATAGTTTATCACTTCAGTAATTTTAAGGAGACTGTTTAAATTAATATAAAAGTAAAATCTTTTATCCTTTTTGAAAGGAGGACTTACTGCTGTGTATACTGGTGTAATCACATTGAATTGTGTTCTTGGAACAAATAATTTAAAATCAGCCTGGCTGGTGTGGCTCAGTGGTTGAGCTTTGACCCATGCACCAAGAGGTCCCTGGTTCGATTCCCAGTTGGGGCACATGCTCAGTTTGTGGACCCAGTCCCCAGAGGGGGGCATGCAGGAGGTAGCCAATTAATGTTCTATCTTATCACTGTTTCTATCTCTCCCTCTCCCTTCCTCTCTCCCTAAAAAAATAAATTAATTAAAAAATATATAAAAGATCAGAGTGCCAGGCATATTATTCATCAGTGAAAATAGTCCTTTTGATTATTTATTGACTAATTTTTTAATCCTCCAAGGATTTTTTTTTTTTATCCTCACCCGAGGGCATTTTTCCATTTTTTGTACAGATAGAGTGGGAGGGGGAGAGAGAGAGAAACATCGATGTGAAAGGGACACATCGAGTGGCTGCCACCCGCACGACCAACCAGGGCCGGGGACAAACTGCAACCGAAGTACGTGCCCTTAGCGGGAACCGAACCCGGGTCTCTCCAGACCGCAGGCCGACGCTCTAACCGCTGAGCCAAACCGGCCAGGGCCGATATTTTTTTATTTATCTTCAGATAGAATAGGGGGAAGGAGGGGGAGAGAGAGAGAAACATTGATGTGAAAGACACACATCAACTGGTTGCCTCCTGCACGACCCCCCCAGGGCTGGGGATGAACCGCAGTCGAGGTTCTGACTGGAATCGAACCTGAGAATCATTGGTCCTCGGGCTGACACTCTAACCACTGAGCCAAACCGGCCAGGGCTTATTAATTGTAGCAGGTTTAATTTCAGGTGGCCCTGGAATGAAAGTAATGTGGAAGAGTTAGTGTGTATTTTTCACAGAATCTTCTGCTATGTGCCAAATGTCATTTACTTTCTGATTATATGTTATTCCAGTGGTCAGGAGTAAAATACTGGTTAGCCAGTGGGAATAAGATGAGTTACCAGCCACCAGACTGGCCTGCTGGCACTTTCCTTGCTCTTGCAAATCCCTGAGGACGACACTACTCGACACAAAGTAAACTTCAATCATACCAATTGCCACTGGGCCAAAGGTCCAGGACCTGAAAAACCAGGCCAGGCCTAAAGTACATCTTACTGGAGAAGCTGAGACAGTCAATAATAAAAATGAAATGAGGAGCCCAGCTGGTGTGGCTCAGTGGTTGAGCATCAACCCATGCACTGGGAGGTCGCTGGTTCGATTCCTGGTCAGGGCACATGCTCGGGTGTGGGCCAAATCCCCAGTGGGGGGCATGCAGGAGGTGGCCGATTGATGTTCTTTTTCATCGATCTTTCTATCTCTCCCTCTCCCTTCCTCTCTGTCTCTAAAATCAATAAAGAAAAAAAAAAAAAAGAAATTATGACATATTTCTCCATCCACTTCATTAGGGACATCCTTTAGGTTGTTAATACTTGCTTCTCTCATAGTGACTCAGTTAAGTAGGGAAGTCATTGGTAACTGGTTTTTCAGGCCAAAAATTATTATTATTTAAGATGAACTATTTATTGAAATGGTAAGGATTGCACTAGAGCAGAGCACATGGGGATACTCTCAAGTGAAACCAAATGGGTACTATATGGGCCAGCACCACAAGTGAACCCTCCCCCTTAATTCCCAAATGCAGACGGCAGGTTGTCTCACGACAAAGTGATCCCTTTTGCACCTGCTCTCTCAAGCTTGTGTCAGACAGATCCTGTGCTGCAGAGCTGGCTCCCGAACAGGGCCGGGGAAATGCAGATCTAGTACTGGAATTCAATCAAGGAATTCTGAAATTTGATCATTATTTTCTCCATTTTTGTATCCTTTTAATGTCGAAAGTATTTTTTTTCTTTTTTCTTTTTATCCTTACCTGAGGACACTTTTGCATTTATCTTCAGATAGAGCGGGAAGGAGAGAGGGAGGAAGAGAGAGAGAGAGAAACATCAATGTGAGAGAGACACATCGAGTGGCTGCCACCCACACGGACCCAGGCCGGGGACAAACTGCAACCCAGGTACGTGCCCTTAGCGGGAACCGAACCCAGGACTCTCTGGTCCACAGGCTGACATTCTAACTGCTGAGCCAAACCGGCTAGGGCAATTGTTGAAAGTATTAGAGATGTCCCCCCTGTAGGCCAAAAATTATTTCAACAACCTTCAGTTTGGGTAATAGACCATTTCTATGGGCAACATGATTCATGTACTAGAAGAGCTAACTCAGACTTTTCTTTTTCATGTAGGACCCTGAGGGTGTATAGCACACAGAAGAAGCGTGTGGCTTTCAATGTGTCGAAGATGCTGTCTGGAACAGGGGCTGAAGGAGAGGTAGGAGACACTGGCTTTCCAAATGGCTGTGCTTTAGTTGAGACGTAGGACGTCTGAGACTGTATCTTGCACCTAAGTCACTCTTAACGACACCTGACCCACAGTAAGATTTCCTCATGGACAGTCAGGGCTCAGCTAGTGTGGTGGGCTGGCCTGTCTGGAAACAGACACGTCTTGGGGCCTGGGCGAGCTGATGATGGAGGATAGTGGTTTCCAACAATGGCTGCACTATGGAAGCACCTGGGAAGCATTAAAAAATAGGGGTGCCTGGTCTCCACCCCCAGGGCTGTGATTCACTTGGCTTGAGGTAGGCAGGGCCTCGGGATTCTGAGGCATGGTGAGGGTTGAGCACGCAGACCTTGTTAGATCCCAGAACTAGGCACGGGAAGGCGGGTGGTGGCGGGCACATCGTCCTGCAGCAGGCAGGTAGATGGAGAACTCCGGGAGCAGACAGCAGGGACCCAGCCGCTGGGCTGGCGTTCAGAAATAGGAGGGATTTTTTTTATCCTCACCCGAGGATATTTTTCCATTTTTTTTTTGTTCAGATAGAGTGGGAGGGAGAGAGAGGAAGGGAGAGAGAGACAGAAACATCGATGTGAAGGGACACATCGAGTGGCTGCCACCCTCACAACCAACCAGGGCCGGGGACAAACTGCAACCGAAGTACATGCCCTTAGCAGGAACTGAACCCGGGTCTCTCCGGACCGCAGGCCGATGCTCTAACCGCTGAGCCAAACCGGCCAGGGCAATAGGAGGGATTTTGACGTTAGAAAACTGTCGAATGAAAAGAGGACCCTAGTCCTGGAGGAACCAAGACAAGTTAGGCACTTAGGCAAAGGGAGCCAGTCAGTTACTGGCACAAAACGGACCAGGTGCCAACCCAGTGCTTGGGTGGCAGGATAAGGCTGTGTTGGCCGGCTGGTGCTGAGAGGTCACAGGCTTTGTGGAGTAAGGGGTCATGCTTCCTTGGATTCTTGAGAATGAGTCTTAATGTTCATAAAGTGGTGAATAGCAGCAAAAACTTTCACACTGGTGTTCAAGAAATGTTTGGGAAGATGATTGCCAACTTAATAACTATATTTTTAAAAAGTATTCAGTAAGTTGGAAATTCTAAATTATACACGCAGACAACAAGCAAAGGACTCCTGGTCGTCTTCTCCTTCCTCCCAGGTTCATCTCCACTGTCGACAGTTTCATTGTACTCGCTGGATGACTGCGCGCGTGCGCACACATGCATGCACACACGCACACACACACACACACACACGCGTGCACAGGGCTTTCCTAAATCAAAAGGGTCATCAGTTAGTGAATGATTACTCTTGCAGTTCTGCAGGAGTATTGGATTTGTAATACCATTTCAGTTTTTTTTTTTTTTAAGATTTAAAAAAAAAATTTTTTTTCTTTGTTGATTTTAGAGAGAGAAAAAGGGAGAAGGAGAGAGAAATAGAAACATCGATAGAGAGAACATCAGTTGGCCACCTCCTGCATGCCCCCACTGGGGATTTGGCCCACAACCTGGGCATGAGCCCTGACTGGGAATCGAACCGGCGACCTCTTGGTGCATGGGTCAGTGCTCAACCACTGAGCTACACCAGCCAGGCTCATTTCAGTTTTATTTATCTTCAGTAATAAATGGTAATATGTAAAGAATAAAATCTAGGAATTGGTAAGCGCTCTTGTGAATTTAAGGATTTGGAATAATGTTTAAACTTTGTGCCACAGGCCAGAAGTTACCGGATGTTTCACGACGACAGCATGAAGTCATTCTTTCGTAGACTCAGCTTCACCCCTGATGGGTCTCTGCTCCTCACACCAGGTGTGTTTAACGAAGCCAGGCCTTGCCAGGACTCGCGACTCGCCAGATGTCTGACAGCGAGTCTAATTGCAGATACAATGTGTGGACATAGAATGAAAGCAAAAGTAGGGATACAAATGTAAGAGGAGGGAAACCAAGGAGGATGGGAGAGGGGGAGAAAGAATGCATTAGTTGCTGTGCAAGTTAACTTTCGTGCTCACATGTGAGATTGTTTGTGTGTGTGTGTACATGCTTCAGGAAACAGCAGTGTGAGACAGGGAGATGTTTCTGAGAGCAGATGTATCTGGCTGTCATTCTCTGCCAGGGTCTGACTGGTTTTAATTGCATGCTGGGGTGGGTTCTAGAAGAGACCTGCAGTGTGGCCTGCTCCCCGCAGCCGGTCAGCTTCTTCAGGGGCTGGAGATTTCGGCAGAGGGCTAGGTCTCCAGGCAGCGCCTGGCTCCATCAGGCAGAGGGGAAAAGGCCCAGTTTCAGCCTTGGGATGGCAGTTGAGGTTGGAATGCAGGGGGCAGCCGGGGACGCAGTCATAGCACTTCAGCAGGGATGGGCCGGGTTCTCAGGCAGAGGTCATTTGGACAGGGGTTCTCGCCTTATGTTCTTCCCGCCCAGGCCTGGAAGTGGCTGGGGGCCAGCTGAGCCCCTCAGGTGAGATGACAGTCAGGCGAGGACAGGTGGGTAGAACCAGAGTGAGGGCTGAGCCTAGACTGTGACAGAAATGTTTGCATTCGTCCCCAGTCACACAAACCTGTCCAGGGAATACATCTTCTGGGATAATCACTTCACAAACCAGAAATGAATGCCCTTGAGTTCTGTAGGTGAACAGTGTATTAACACGTTGCCTTTCCCTGCCTCCCCAGCCGGATGTGTGGAGTCTGGTGAAAATGTAACCAACACAACGTACGTTTTCTCCAGGAAAAATCTGAAAAGGTATGTGACCGAAGAATGACGGGAACATTGACCCTTTCTTTTTGCTTTTGTTGAGCAATGGCACCTTTCTCTAAAACCATGATTACTCTGTAGGCCTGTGGCTCATCTTCCGTGTCCCGGAAAAGCGACGCTTGCTGTCCGCTGCTGTCCCGTCTACTTCGAGCTGAGGCCGGTGGTGGAGACAGGTACGTCAGAACCCGGCGGTTGCATTGTTCCCTGTCAGGCAGGTCACCACGGTGGGCGGGGTTTGATTTCATCTCCTGGGGAAAGACGCATTTGTGGGTTCGGCTCAGTTTGGTTCCTCGTAGGAGCTGGAGCGGAGACTGATGTTCCAAGCTGTGTCCATTATTGGCATCGTCTGGAACAGTCTGCTTAGAGCAACTTTGAAGGAATAGCAGTGCTAGTGTGGTTTTTCCACTGGACCAGGTCAAATGCCATTCGTTACTGATTTTATTACGCAGTAAAATGATGTATCAGTTGGATTTTTCTTTGTTTTTAACTCCCCCCCCCCCCGACTTGGAGGATTTCGACCATTACTTCTTCAAATACTTTTTGTCATGCCCTCTCCCCTCTTCTCCAGGGACTCTGGCTACACATGTTGGGCTGTGTGAGGTTATCTCACGACTCACTGGTGCTCTGCCCCTTGTTTTTTTGTTTACCTCACAGTGTTTTGTTTGACAGGTCTGGTAGCTGTTTTGAGTCCACGAATCTTTCCTCTTTGTAGTCTTCCCGTGGTGCCACCCCATGCATTCTCCATCTGGGACACCGGTTTCCACCTCCGAGGTTCTGTCTGGGTCTTGTCTTTCCTCTTGCTCCTTGAACATGTGGAGCACGGTGATTTTTTTGTTTTTGTTTTTTTATCCTCACCCGAGGACATTTTTGCTTTTATCTTCAGGTAGAGCGGGAGGGAGAGAGGGAGAAAGAGAGAGAAACATCGATGTGAGAGAAACACATAGATCGGTTGCCTCCCACATGACTGAACCAGGGCCAGGCATTGAACCTGCAACTAGGTACATGCCCTTGACTGGGAATTGAACCCACAACTCTTAGGTCTGCAGGACAATACTCTAATTGCTGAACCAAACTGGCCAGGGCAAGCATTATTATTATTATTATTATTTTGTTGTTAATCTACACCCGAGGATATTTTTTCCATTGATTTTTTTTTTTTAGAATGCAAAGGTAGGGGGCGGGGGCGTGGTGGGGGGAGAGACATTAATGTGAGAGAGAAACATCAATTGGTTGAACTCTCGACCCTCTGGTGCATGGACCAACACTAACCACTAAACCACATTGGCCAGGGCCCTCTTATGAATATTCTGGGACTTTATTCTTCTTTTTTCTTTATTGATATTAGAGGAAGGGAGGGAGAGAGAGAAACATCAATGAGAAAGAACATGTACTGGCCACCTCCTGCATGCCCCCCACTGGGGATTTGGCCCACAACCTGGGCATATGCCCTGACCGGTAATCGAACTGGCGACCTCTTGGTGCGTGGTCCACGCTCAACCACAACGGCAGGGCTGAACTTTATTCTGGGACACAGTGAAGTTACTTGGAAACGTTTTGCTTCTTGGGTCCTGCTGTTAAGCTGTGTTGGGGGACCCCAGCAGCACTGGGTCGAGGGCAGCTCTCCCTCCTCCTGGGGGAAGCCCTCTGAGTGCTCTGATCCCTGCCGTGCTGTAGGAGCTTGTCCCCTGGCTGCGGGAACATGCGGGGCCTGTGTGCGCGTTGGGTTGATCTTCCTTTCCTGCTCTTGCTCGGGCCTCAGGTTGCTTCCCCCACCGCGTGCACTGGCCTGTGCTCAGCTCAGGCAGCGCCCCTGCAGTACTGCAGCTCTCTGGTCTCTGCTGCAGGCCGGACCCCAGCCCCGCCTCCTCTGCTCAGGACCCGCGCTGGGTACAGGCTGGTCCCCTCCCAGGCAGTGAGCTGAGGCTATCATAGCACTTACGCACCTGCTTCCTGTTACTCAGGGGTCACTGTCCTGTGTTGCTGATGGGCATATCTTAAAAAATTGGGGGGTAAATTGGGTCACTGTTACTCTAAAGCTGGAAGCTGAAGCTGTTTTTAACTCTAAACTTTTACATGAATGAATGTAATTAACTCAGAGCATTAAAACATCACATGATACAATGTTTCCATGTGATCCTGTTTTTCCTTATCAGAAATTCTCTTTGTTTTGGACTTTGGTTGGGTCCCTGTGATTCTTAGATTGCGGCATGGTGTCCTTGGTTCACACGTGGTTCTCATTTATTCCTACATTCATATATAAAATAATAGAAAGACCTGAATTCTTTGTAAAGTATTAATAAAATTATATCATGTGTGTCCTCGGGGGAAGGGCTCTTGGGGGAGAATTTGGTATTTGTTCCCTGCAGGAACTTGGCTGTTGCTGGTGTTACTGTCCTTCCTGTGTCCCTGTCCCCCACAGATGGACCGTCCCAGGGGCCAATGGTGCGCCTGCCCTACCGCTTGGTGTTTGCCGTGGCTTCCGAAGACTCTGTGCTCTTCTACGACACCCAGCAGCTCTTCCCTTTCGGTTATGTGTCCAACATACATTACCACACCCTGAGCGACATCTCCTGGTGAGTGGCGGTGGCCGGGGAGGCGGATGGGGGAGGAAGTGTCTGTTACCCTGGAGCAGACCCTTGGGTCAGGGAGCATTTCATGACTGCAGAGGACTTTTTTGGCTCTTATTTACCAATTTTTAAGAAAGGAACCAACATTAAAAGGAAAGCCTTACCCACCACTTCCTATTGGAACAGCAGTGGGGGGTGCCATTCGGATGGTCCCGTGGGGTTACTTAGTCTCATGACCTGAGGCCAGGCCCGGGCTCCTGGTCGTTGGGGGAATCGCCTGGCCATCCAGGGGGAGCCCATGCCCGCATGCTCCTGTTGCTCAGAGCCGTGCCTGTCCCCAGGCGTCCCCAGCGCCGGGCTTCCCTGGTCCATCCTCCCCTGTGGGCTCAGGCTGAGGCCTGGCCAGGCGGCATCCCTTTCTTACTCTATCACCAATTTTCTCTTCTTTTTTTTTTTTTCCCTCACCCGAGGATATTTTTCCATTTTTTGTACAGAGAGAGAGGAAGGGAGAGAGAGAGAGAAACATCGACGTGAAGGGACACATCGAGTGGCTGCCACCCACACGACCAACCAGGGCCGGGGACAAACTGCAACCAAAGTACGTGCCCTTAGCGGGAACCGAACCCAGGTCTCTCCGGACCGCAGGCTGACGCTCTAACCGCTGAGCCAAACCGGCCAGGGCACCAATTTTCTCTTCTTTTAATACTCTTTTTCTCTTGGGAAACAAAGGTCATCTCACTTCTGTTCAGGTACATTTGGTGACGGCAGAGAAAGTGTGGTGCCTGAGACAGCCACGCGGGGCCGGGAGGAGGCGCTGGGACGCGCACAACCCTGCCTTAGTCACGTTTTCCTTCAGGCAAAGCTGGTGACTGTGCTTGAACCTCGGTTTCCCACCAGCAGTGAGGGCGTGAGGAGGGGCCCACAGGCTCGGTCACGTTCTTAACTTTTTCTCCTGTTTTGGGAACAAAGGTCGAGCGACGGGGCCTTCCTGGCCATTTCTTCCACCGATGGTTACTGTTCATTCGTGACATTTGAGAAGGAGGAGCTTGGAATACCTTTCAAAGAGAAGCCAGATTTGAGCGTGAGAACTCCTGATACTGCACAGAAAACAAAGAGTCAGACGCAACAAGGGTCTTCGCCAGGACCCAGGCTGGTAGAGGGGACGCCCACCAGCAGAATCCAAGACCCCAGCAGCCCCTGCGCAGCGCCCCCTCAGGCGAAGCCGTCTGCAGGCCCAGCTGCGGCCAAGGACCCGCCCTCTACTGCTGCCGGCGCCGCCAGGAGCCCGGCGCCCGGGCCTTCCGAGGAGAAGAGCCCGCAGCCCGGCAGTCAGAACGTGAAGGCACCCCCGTCCCGGAGGGTCACTCTGCACACTCTGCAGGCCTGGAGCAAGACGACACCCCGGTAAGAACTCGACAAAGACACACTGAAGGCCCCACCGTTAGCAGGTGAAACGCCAACAGCAGGGACTTCGTCTGCTGCCAGAGCTGTTTCTTAAGCTCCGCTCCAGGAGCGACATTCTTGCTCACAGAGCTCTGTGGGCCCCGTTTTCTACCCGTCCTGTAGGTGGGCGTCACCTGCTGGCCGGGCCTGTGGCTTGTCACTCCCCTTCGCCATGTGCCTTCCTCTCCAGCCCAGCCCCGAAGCCAGGTCCCAGAGCACACTCGGCCCTGCAGACCTCTGCCTTTACCTTCCTCCGGAAGCCCTGGACACCTGCCCCTGGGTGGCACGCGTCCTCCATCAGCGCTTTCCTCTGTCACAGCTCATCGCCTCCAGCGGCAGGGTTTCACTTCTGCCCTTTCCCTGTCAGATTACAAGTCCCTTAAGGCAGGACGTGTGCCACCTTCTTTACCCACGTCTCTCGCCCAGGACAGTAACGGGCACTTTACGGTGGGCAGGAACTCAGGACGACTCGAGGTGGTTTTGCTGTCCAGCAGATGGGCTCCTGGTGAACAGTGTGTCTGACTGACAGTACAGCGTCTCTGGCGATGGTGCAGTTTGTCCCTGTTCCTGTCAGGCCGCTGTAGATGTGCCTGGTTCCCCGCCGCTGCTGCAGACAGAGGTGCCAATGCCGCCCTCTGGCCCTCTGGCCCCAGCAGCTGCTGCCCCCAGGTTTCCTCTCTGGACTTTGGGGAAGTTACCCCCCAGCTCTGTCTGCCGCCTTCTCCCGCAGTCCCCCAGCTCCTGGCCTGGACAGACTGCGCTGGGATGCGGCCGGGGCAGGGGTGGGGTGACAAGATGCTAGAGGCACCCTGTGTGTCTCTGCCGTGCTCACGTGACTTCATTGGCAGATTCACAGCAGGTTGAGGGGCGTGTTCGGCTCAGTGAGTCCGATTTCTTGCTGCAGACTGCCAGTGCTTTGTTTTTCTTCTATTGCTTTTCAGGTGGGGGAAGGGAGCGGGGTGGTGTTCTTGGAAATATTTTGGTATGTACGTTTTTCTCTTGACGTCTCGTAAGCTTCTTGCAGTTGTCATTTTTGAAAAGTAATACTTGTTGAAAATTAAGATGGTCGGTTTTAGAAAGAACTACCTGTGTTTTGGAGCTTTCCAGAGTAGAACGCATGTCTGAGAGCAGGTGTTCAGCATCCCAGGCACAGGCTTTGGAACTCAGGTGACTGGTTCCGGGTTAAGCTGCTATTACAACTGTGACGGTTTAACTTAGTACATGAACTTTATCTTTCGTTACTAAACAAGAGGGCGCATCAGCCGTTTATTTAATGCCTTGCATGGTATGCTCAGCTGCGGGTTTCAGATGTTTCCTTTGGGTAGTTTTGAAATGTGTCAGACAGAAACAATTCCCACGACATGAATTCACCACCTTTCCTCCTTCTGTTCATCAGGAGAGTAACCTTAATGCCCTTAAAGACAGACACTCCCAGTTCTGCAGCAGGCCCTGAGGCTCCCACCCCTTGCACAGAGGAAGTTCAGTCAGGTAAGTGATACTGGTACTGCTTTCATATCCTTGAGGGTAGAATATCTTCTCGCTTGTTTTGGAAATTAACATCTGCTGATTTAAAAAAAAAATGTTTTTGATTTTTTAGAGAGAGGGGATGGGAGAGAGAGAAAAACATCAATGTGAGAGATACATCAACCGGCTGCCTCCTGCACGCCCCCTACTGGGGATCTGGGGATCGAGCCCGCCCCGGGCATGTGCCCTGACTGGGAATCAAACCAGGACCTCTCAGTCCACGGGATGACGCTCAATCCACTGAGCCACACTGGCCAGGCAACATTTGCTAATTTTCAGTCAGTTTTGAGACAGCAGAGATGCATCTATTAGACCCACCTTCCATACTCACTGGCCGCCCGTTTGTTCTTAGCAGGGAGACCGCGTTCCCTGAAAGAGCTCGGTGAGCTAGAGGGTGCCGGCAGGAGGTGCTGGAGGTCTTCTCAGCCTGGGCACCGCCCATGTTCTGGGCCAGATTGGTCTTTGTCGTGGGACTGTTCTGTGATTGCAGGGTGTTCGTTAGCACCCCTGGATGTTGTGCCCATCCCCCCACTCACGACCTCCTAAAATGTCAGCAGACTTTGCGCACTGTCCTTTTAGAGACAGTCACCCTGGTTGAGAGCTGCCTGTGTGGATCCTTTTACTTCTATGCACACAGGACCTTGCCAGGCAGTTGAATTTGTTGTCTGGGCACAGAAATTATTTTAACATCAGCTCTTAACTTAAGAAGTCTTCACTTACTTGCCGGCCTTCGTGAATGTTTCAGAGATGCATGGAGACCCCCTGGGCAGTCCCCCGGAGCTGAAGCGGCCCAGACCTGGGGAGAGCAAAGGCAGTGGCCAGAGTGTGGACCCCAGAGGAGACCTGCCTTGTGCTTGAAAGCTGCCACGTCTGGGGACTCGCATGTCACAGGGAAGGGGCTGAAGACCCCGGATCAGGGCGTCAGACGGAGCCGGTAGACACGCACAAATGATTTCTGTAACCAGGTGCACGTGGACTGGTTTGCCTCCAGAAATAGGTTTGCTCTTGTGTTCGGGACACAGTTTACCTGGGAGACGTGAACATTTCAACAGGCCAAGTCCTCTCTCGATGAGTCTCTGGAACTGGACCAGCTGAACATTATCCGGTGTGCAGATCCGTTAGTCCTCCCCTGAAATTCTGCCTCATGGGTGGACCCTAAAGCTGGAATTGGAAAGTAATTTGTGAAGGTTTATTCCATTGAATTCCAGAGGATTTGAGTGGTTACTAGATTTAGCTTCTAAATAGGTGATTGATTTTTGGAAGTTTGTTGTATTTGCTTCCAGACTTTAAAGGCACTACTGCTCATTCTAAGTTAGCAATCCAGAGAGAGGAGAAAAAGGTTTGGGGTAGGAAACCCCGTCACCTCACTCCCAGAAGGAACCCTCGTTCCTGTTACGGCATATTTTCTTCTTCACATTTTTATTTTGTTTCGTTTTCTTCTTTTTAAGGAGAGAGTTTACTTTAGATACAACTTGGTATCTAACTAGATTAACTTTTTAAAATTTTCAAAATAAGAGAAAGTAACTTAGCAATTTATGCCTGTGCCTCTGCTTTCTCCGGTCCCTGGGAGGGTGACAAGGTCTCTGTCTCTCCTGGGGAGACAGTGAAGAGTCGTCGCAGTGGAACGCCCGTCGGTGCTCGGTGTCGACACTGGCACAGGGAACACGAGTCGGGCCGAGAGGGTGCTGCGCGCGGCTTTCTTCCCCATCTGCGCCGTCGGCGTGAACGTGGGCAGGCGGCCGGGAGCCGCCCATAGCTCAAGTCAGCAGCATCAGGGAAAAGAGTTGGAAAAAAGAGTCACTTTGTCCCTTAATCCACATCCTGTCTTAACAAGAAAAAGAGTGTGCCTCCCTTCTAGGTGGGAAGCTGCAAACGGGGTCATCGACCCACGGAGCTGTCTTCATGAAGACGTGATCGCGTTCGCACGGACGTGCTTTAAACTCATAGGAGTGTCTGCTTTGACCGGTGGTTCCCAGCCTTAGCTGCAGATTGAAATCACACGAAGAGCTGATAAAAATATTGACCGCAGGGACCCCTCCAGGGGGTCTGGCCTGATCAACCCAGGGCTTGGTCTGAACATCAGGATTCTCTCGAGCCCCTGCTGTGATTCTGATGCACTGCCAAGGTGGGAAATCAGAAGAGAAAAGGCTTTCGGTGGAAATGTCTCTCCTGGTAAATACTTGTGCCCTGAAAGCTCTTTCTTGCACCCAGCTGGTAGGGTCAGTGGTTGAGTGTCAGCCCGTGCACCAAGAGGTCGCCAGTTTGATTCCTGGTCAGGGCACGTGCCCAGGTTGTTGGCCTAATTCCCAGTGGGGGGCATGCAGGAGGCAGCCAATCGGTGTTCTCGCTCATCGATATTTCTATCTCTCTCTCCCTCTCCCTTCCTCACTCTCAAATCAATAAAGAAAATTTTTTTAAAAAAGCTCTTTCTTGCTTATTCTCTGGTTCATCACTGACTGAAGGGCAAGCTCCTTCACCAGGGCTCCAGACTGAAGGGGCAACACGTGGGAGATGCTGCCGGCTCCTCGGAGGAGAAAGGTCGCCGTCACCTTCCCAGGCTGGAGTGTGCGTTTGTGTGTGGCCATTTGTCCCTGTGCAGACAGGACTGACACGGGTCCTGTGTTCCCGGGGGCCACCCCCAGTGGAGGAGCGTATTCAGTTCCGCACATCTGTCCCTGCAGCAGTAATGGGGGTGCAGGGCCACCTTCAGCCCCGTGTGTTTGCAGGACGTCGCCTGCTCCTCAGCTGCCACCTTGGACGGAGCCTCAGTAAGAGCCCAGGCAGTAACTGACCTGACCCACACCACCTGCTTCCATCCGGGGGGTTCACTGGGGAGCCTGCTGTGGGTTAAAGTGCCCTGGGTCTGCAGCTGGTTGGGGTTTTGTTTTTCTCTGCCCCTTCTGTGGGGTAGGAGTCCCTGTTGCTAGGTAGCCAGGAGCAGGTGGGGTTGGGAGACTGCTGGGAGGGCCTGACGTGTGTTCCCTAGAGTCTGGGAGTGATGGGACCAGGGCCTGCCCTCTTCGTTGTCGCCCCCCCTTGTGTGTCTGGAAGAGGAAAGCTGGTGGGGTTGCCAGGGCAGCCGTGAAGAGGGGCAGTTGCCATTACACACAGGGCACAAGGTGGGGCCCACGGTGGGTGGCCAGGCCCAGGCTCTTATGAGCGTGGCCTCAAGCAGGGTGTTCCCCAGGACAAAGGCATTTCAGCGGAGGTCAGCGTGGGCACGGGCGGGAGCAAAAGTCGCACCCAGCCTTTGCTGAAAGCACATCTGAATTTGGGTGGTGCTATGGACCCTTCTTACCAAAATGGCGCCCAGTTCTGCAGGGCTCCTGCCCTCCCCTTCCTGTTGTTTTGCTGTATTTCAGTCTCTGCTCCCTCTCGCCTGGTGTATGTGTGTGTCTGTCTGTCTCTGTATCTTAGAGACAGACAGACCTTGGACAAGTTTCTTCACAGCCCCCAAAACTTGGACTTAACCTATTTCACAGGGGAGGGTTAAGGACAGAAACGAGAGATGGAGTTAAATGGCTATAGGTAAGCCAGCTGTGTGTGCACACATGCACGTGCACGCGCATGCATGCACACACTCTCTCTCTCTCTCTCTCTCTCTCTCTCTCTCTCTCTCTCTCTCTCTCTCTCGTGGCCACTAGGTGTCACTGTCCCCACTGGATCGGCCCAGTAGGAGGGCCTCGCAGGCTGCTCAGCCTCTCCCCCGAGTGGTCTCTGTCCCTGTCAGCCTTGTCCCCAGCGGCCTTGGATGTTGGCTGCAGCCCTTGGCGGCCACACCTAGAGGGGAGTGTTGTTCAGCAAATCCGGTGAGCCTCTGCCCCTGAAGTCCTGCCGTCATCAGCACCAGCGTAGCAGAGAGAAAAATCCTTGCCGACCCGGATCCCTGGAAGGAGTCCTATTTTTCCCTCAAGTTTTGGCTCTGACAGACCTATGAAACAAGTATAGACCCTTTAAAAGCTGTGGTAACAAACGCTTAGTAATGATGTGAGGTCGGTAACACCCCTATCTTTTTTTGTTTAAAAGAAAATGACTATGTCTTTATTGATTTTAGACAGAGAGGAAGAGAGAGAGACATTGATTAGCTGCATCCTGCGTGCACCCCAGTCAGGGAGTGAACCCGCCAGCTGGGCAGTGCCCTGACCGGACGTCAAACTGGCCACTGCAGTACACCGGACGATGCTCAACCAACTAAACCACGCCAGCCGGGGCCCCTCTCTCTCAATACTCAAAACGCCTTCATGTCTCCGTCACAGAACGTTACCTGGGAAAGGCATTTCGAGAGTAGTAATGCGTCGGAAGTAACTTGGGGTCCCTCTGCCCTTGGCCAGCGCCGTTGGCATGTCTGAGAAGGCGTGCGTGGGAGGAAGTCGGCTGGCGGCCGCCCTTGAGGCCCTGCCCCACAGCCCCCCTTCCTCCAGCCACCGGCATCTGATCCCTGCGGGGCTTTACAAACAAAACAAAATAAACCCAACTTAAATCTCGGCTTTGTCCAGGCCCCGTAGTCATCTGTGGATGAGGGGACACCAGCCAGGCACGTGCACTTAATAAAACACGGGCAGTCAGCACTGAACTACTGGTCGGTGAGATGAGAAATCTGGAAGATACATCAGTGAAGGGCTGTTGAAATGCTTTCGTGAAAAGTATCTATATTCAGCTACCCAAGGGGAGACTTGAATTTTGACGAAAGCTTTGCCTCCCAGCTTCAATGTAACTCTGCTCCCCCCTGAAGTTACAGGAATGAGTAGATGCTGTTTCTCCGAAGCCAGGCCCAAAGCTGTCCCACTCTGGGGACTTGTGTCATGAACGGGCTATAGGGAGGCGATGACTTTCAGTTCCTAATGGAATGAGGACTGGAATAAGCCACTAGGGGCGACATTGCTAGCCCTTAACTCCACTCATTAACTAATTACATGCATTTAAAATATATATATATATTTTATTGATTATTTAGAGAGGGAGGGAGAGAGAAATAGAAATATTGATGTGAAAGAAACATCGATTGGCTGCCTCCTGCATGCCCCCCACTGGGGATCAAGCCTGCAACCCAGGCATGTATCCCAACTGGGAATCAAACCGGGACCTCACAGTCCACGGGACAACACTCAATCCACTGAGGCTAATTGCATGTATTTTTAATGAAAGCATTTTTAATCCTGTACTTACAAAAGTAGTACATTATCTATGTGCAATACACTTTCATGTTTATTCTTTTCTACATAATTAAGTGCTAATTTGTCATTCCAGTGAGTTATATAAGTCCATGTCGTGTACCGAATCAAAGCACACCACGAGAACATCACATACATACAGCTAGATTTAAAAGGTGTTTATGTTAAATGTAATCAAAGGTATAATGAGTTTGAAGAACCTAACCTCAAACAGGTTTCTTTTATTTTTAAACCAGAAAAAGTCTCTGACATGTTTCTGCATATTAGCAACAAATATATCCACTGTGAGTCCAGCCGGTGTGGCTCAGTGGTTCAGCATCGACCCTTGCACCAAGAGGTCGCCTGTTCAATTCCCGGTCAGGGCACATGCCCAGGTTGTGGGCCCAGTCTGCAGTGGGGGGCATGCAGGAGGCGGCCATTTGATGTTCTCTCTCATTGATATTTCTATCTCTCCGTCTCACTTCCTCGCTCTCTTAAAAAACAAAATCTCTCTCTCCACTGTGCCTCACAACTATATGAGGATATATGCAGTAAGATTTGACTGGAAATCATCTAAGTGTCTGCCAATAGATTACATTACAGTACAACTACGGAGGGGGATGTTAATCAGCTGTTAACTGGCCCTATGTGGGTGCAGCATGGAGGGTGGGTTGTGGGAGGAACGGCAGTCAGGAGCTACTGCAATGATCCAGGCAGGGGGTGAGCTTGGGCCAGAACACTGGCAGGGGGGAGCCGAGGTGGGGCACACTTGCAGCGTGTTTTGGAGATGATGATAACTGCAATAAGGTCAGAAGGAAAAAACCTCTAGTCAAGATGAATAAGTCTGGGGACCTAATGCACAGCATGACGACTATAGTTAACTACGCATTTGTATACTTGAAAGTTGCTAAGAGAGTAGATCTAAAAAGTTCTCATCCCATCCCTCCCTGGTTTGGCTCAGCAGTTAGAGCGTCAGCCCATGGACTGAAGGGTCACGGGTTCAATTCCGGCCAAGGGCACCTACTTCACTTGCCGATTGTCCCTGGCCCTGGTCGGGGTCATGTGGGAAGCGACCAGTCAATGTGTCCCTCTCTCTCTGTCTGTCTCCCTCCCTCCCTCCCTCCCTCCCTCCCTCCCTTCCTCCCTATCTGAAGATAAATGGAAAAATATCCTTGGGTGAGGATTAAAAATAAAGTTATCATAAGAAAAAAGTTCACATCCATCAGCACACTAAACTTACGGTTACTAAACTTATGGTGGTGACCATTTCACAATGTACACATATTCAAATCATTATGTTGTATGCCTAAGATTAATACGACGTATGTAATTACACCTCAAAGTGGAAAGATGACAACTGCAGGGATTCGGACTCATTACTGTGGTTGCTGATGAGAGACTCTAGTGCCGCATTGTGGGGAGGGGCTTACGGATTTGAGTTTCAGAGCGAGAAGCAGCCAGTCTGGTGGGATGGCTCATGTCTGCCCCATTTCCCTTCACCCAGGAGAAGGGGGGACTGAGGCCCACACCCCTGTACAAGGGACAGATGCCAGATTTCCTTCCAGGAAAACAGAGCCTTAGAGCCGGGCTCTTTACCTCCACCCACAGTGCTGCTCATAGAATCCACCCTCCTCCTTATTTGGGGATACCATGTATCCCTGCTTTATCTCACTCCACTTCTGCTTGAACCCTTCCAGTGATGGGGAGCTCACCACTTTGCGGGGACGACTGCTCCATTGTCATTTAGCCTAGGTGGCCAGTTCTCCCATTAGTGGCATCAACCCAGCTCTGGCTGTGTCGTCTGAGCCACACCAAAGAGCCCGCACCCTCTTCCCAGTATTTCAGTTAATACCACCTCCCCGTTCGGGGCTCTGTCTTCCAGGCTAAACACGCTGCAGGAAGAGCGGGGCCTCCTAACTGTGAGCTGCCAAACCACTGCCCTGCCCTGGGTGGTAGACCAGCTTCGGCGGCAGAGGAAATGACAGCCTCGTGGAGCAGCCTGGCCCGAGTGACAAAACCAGGTCTGTCTGCTCTCGGCTCCAGT